GGTAAATCGTTGCAACTGAGCTTCCAGGGTTTCTCCAGGGATATAATCGAACATGTTGAAGTTTTGTCTTAACATCTTCTGACGACTCTCTTTCATGTCTTCAATTCCCTCGTAGACCTCAAAATCCATTTAGTGCCTTCTTCATGCTTTCGCTTAACTCCATGAGTTTTTCCAGCTTCATCCTCCCTATTTTCTTTCTTTGGTTCCTCCATGTCTATATCCACCTTGTCTAGTGTGGGCTCTTTGCTCTTGGTCACCTCCTATTCATCACTTGACTCCTGATCTTTGCTTGTTTTTTCTACTTCATAAATAGGTCGGGTGTACGCGAATACTTCAAAAATCATAGAAATTGAAGTTTGAGGGTTTGTACGCTTCACTTCTTCTTGTGGATTTGGCTTCTCCTAAGTGAGAAACTCTTCTTCTATCATTCTTTGTAACTCTAGAAGCTCATTAGAATCATTTCCCTCGTCTTCTTCTTGCACCTCTTCATCACGTTCATGCATCTCCTCATCCACTCCATCCATGAAAAAGACATCATTGCTAGCTCGTGATTTGTTTGACTTTTGATTAACTCCAAAAGTTATTTCTTCATCCCCCACTCGTAGTGTAAGTTTAGATTCTCGAATGTCGACGAAGGCCCTTGCGGTGTTGAGGAGTGGTCTTCCTATGATGATTGGAGTGTCCCCATCCTATTTCATGTCTAGTACCACAAAATCTATTGGAAAAACAAATTTCCCAATTTTCACCAATAAATCTTCTACAATTCCACGAGGATAAGTGAAAAAGTCATTTGCCATATGAATGGCTATTCTTGTCGTCTTCAACTCCGGTAGATTAAGCTTCTTGTAAAAGGAGTAAGGCATGAGATTTATGATATCCCCCGAATCGGCTAGCGTATTTGTCTTTGTTGAATTACCAAACTCACATAGTAGTGTCAATCGACCTGGATCACCCATTTTTGTAGGAAGCTCATGCATTATTGCAATTAACATTGCTCATTTAGGAAAACTTTTGATACTCGCTCCAATTCCTTACGGTTGCTAATGAGATCTTTAAGGAATTTGGCATACTTTGGCGTTTGATCTATAGCCTCAATGAATGGAATGTTAATGGCGATCCCCTTAACTTGTTGCATGAATCTTTTGTGCTCCTGTTTCAATTGGTCTTGCTTAGCTAGAGATGGGTATGGTAGCGGAAGCTGATAAGGCTTAACAGGTGGAGATTTAGCATTTTTCTCCAGTTCTCACGACGTGGCATCATGCCCACCACGTCGTGGTTGCTGGGCAACTTCATTTTTTTTTCTTTTCTTCTGTTTTTTTATGTTGATTGTGTCTTTTTTCGCTGGTTTCTAAAAGCACAAGAGGCTCAGATTTCTCTCCTTCTTTAGTTGTCACAACCAATACATGGGCTCTTGGGTTTGTCTCGGTATTACTTGGAAGCGTACCCGGTAATCGCTCTTGTAGAAGTTTTGATAGTTTCCTGACTTGCTTCTCTATGTTGAGGATGGAAGCTTGTTGATTTCTGAGAGTGGCTTGTTTTTCTCTAATGGCAGTCTCCGTGTTATTGTGTCGTTTTTTCGATTCCTCGGCAAAACGAGCTAACATCGACTTAAAATCAAGTTTTTTTTAAAGTGGGTTGCTCTTTTTGGTAGAGCCCACGACCTTTTTGCCTATACTTTTTTTTATCTCTTTTGTACTCTTCATAGGGCTTCCACTCTTTCTTTGGCTTTCTCCACTCTTCATCAAACCGATCACCACTTGAGTAGTACACCTGAGCCTTTTTGTTCTCATTCTCATCTAGATCACAATCCTTAGTTAAATGTGGTCCACTGCAATTATCACACCGACTTGGATCGCATGAATTGATTGACCCATTTTTGTACTTATTCTATCTGTGGTGTTTAGGTTTGCAATTACAGCCGCCATACTATCATTAGCTCCATCACCATTAGACTTTCCTATTGTGACATCGTCTCTTGGATTATGATATTCTCGCGAGTGCTTTGCAAACTCCTCAATCAACACCTTGTTAGTAACCATATCTTTCTTTGTTATAGGCCCTTTGGAATCTAATAATTGTCTTGTGCACACATTGATCCCATTATAGAAATTAGATATCTCTTGTTGCATGTTGAGATCGTGTTGAGGGAAATTTCCGTAACATTCCATTGTAACGCTCCCAAGCTTCATATAACGACTCTCCATCAAGTCGTTGAAAGTTTTGGATGTTCTTTTTCAATTTGGAAACCTTTGATGGTGGGATAAACTGTTGAATGAACTATTCTTAAGATTGGCCCATGTCATGATCATTCCTGGTTGAAGTGATTTCAACCAATCTTTCGACACTCCTTTAAGTGTAACTGGAAGGATCCTAAGCATCACTGCATCTCTTGTCATGTTACGAATATTGAAATAATCAACAATCTCTAGCACTTCATCGATATGCTTGAAAGCATCCTCATGGTCCTTCTCGAAAAATGGTAAATCATTGAGCATGTTAAGGATATGACCATTGACCTCGGAATTTGTTGCAACCAGAATTTCGGGTCGCACGAGACTTGGTCTGTTTTCTTCTCGCATTTGTCTATTGTACTCCTCCATGGTCATGGTCATAATGTCCGCTATGTTGTCCTCGGATTCACTTTCCTCTTCTTCGAGTTCAGATTCTGTTTCGGCTTCTGGGTCATAGCCGCTCTCTTTCTTGTCGGTTTCTTGAAAGGTGAGATAACGTTGGAAGAAAACCCCTTTTTGATTTCCGATTCGATAGCTTCTCCTTCGGTGTCAGTTTTGTCTAAATCGAACACTTCTACATTTTTATCCTTCCTTTGCTTGCAAAATTTGGATTCCAGATCGTTAAAAACGGAGACTATCTTCGAGGAGGATCCTCTGGTCATGAATTATTGAAACAAAACAAGAAAACACGCGTAAAACGAACAAAAAAATAACAAAAACAAAAACTGAAAAACTTCATTTCCCACGTCGTGGCAATGTAACTGCCACGTCGTGGTTCCTTGAAACACAGAAAAACAGAAACATAATTTTTTGAGATTTAACCCCACAAAAGGATCGTTCAACTAATGAAAATAATTTCCAGTGAAATTAAACCGTTCCCCAACAATGTTGCCAAAAACTTGATATGTTTATTTGCACTGCTAGTTTTAATGTTTATAAAACCTAATTAATTTAACGAGCTAAAACACAAATAGACAGTGTACCTAGTCGTGTAATAGTATAGTAAAGTAAATAGGGTGTCAAACTAAAGGAATAAAATTTTTACAAGAAAATAACTGCTACTAATTAAACTAAAGAAAATAAACTATGAATTAGGGGGTTTTATATGATTTTGCAAGTTCAGAAAAACTTAATTTATCAACTAACTTTTAACTAAAATTACTTAAAATAAGTAAACAAAACAGAAAACGATTTTGATTCATGAGTACTTTCATTTAGCTTCGAATCACCTTTTCCCTATGGTTGATTTCTAATACAATGGATTATTTAGTTGGTTACCAAATTATAAAGTTAATGGTGATCTTAGTCCGATTTCCTAGTGTTTAATCAATTCATGAACTACTATTATAATGATCATGCAACAAGTTGGACACTAAATTGATTTTAAGGTTATTTGGACTATGAATGACATGATCTAACTGTTACCACCTAACCCTAGGATGTGTTCTATCTCTAGATTCAACAATTCAAGGTTCATAGATAATTATATATCAAGTCCATGCAATAAGATTGATCATCTAACTACACAAAGCTTGTAGATAAGTGATAAAAATTAAAACTTTAACATGCTAGGATATTGATATATCAAACACAAGTAAAAACCAATATAAATTAATCTATAAAACTCAAAATCAACACATAATATTAGGTTTCATCTATGCTAAACGAAATTTAGGGTATTTAGCCCATAACTAAGTCTGAAACAATAAAAAACGAAATAAACTAGAGTAGACATGATGCAAACTAGCAAACCGAACGATTTTATTGTGTTCTGCATGTATATCTCTTCGAATACTTGATCTCTAATCGATTCCTTGCCTTCCAAAGGTTACTTAGAAGGTTCTTGGTCGTTAATAATTGCAGGTAACAACAACATATCCCGAAATTCGACCTAAAAGTCGTTTATATAAGATACCAAAAATACGTCGCCACGTCGTGGCACATGGCTCGCCACGACGCGGGAGACACTTTTAGCTGTTTGCACTAAGTCTTTTATGCAGATCATCAGGAATATTCCATGCAAGACCCGTCACCATGTCGTGACATATATGCGATCACAACGTGGCATCCACATTTTGTACATTGTATTTTCTTTACTTCCTCTTGATGAGTGCTTCTAATCTCCAAGTCTTCAGCTATCCAATTTTGCTCTTTTTCCTATGGGAATCTCATTTTGGCTATAAAATAGATTTCACACATAATAAATACCAAATATCTCAATAAATAACCAAAATATAGCTAAATGTTATTAAAATATCATTTAGAATATATGACTAATTTTAGCAATATCAGGGTATACGGTGGAGAGAGAGAAAAACCAAAATCACAAAAAAAAAAAAAAAAAAAAAACTTACTAAAAAAAACCACAAATCCAAAATTGAGTGGGTTGGATATTTTTTTTCTTAGAAAAACATACCACATGACCATTTGCAGATTTATCTTTTAATTATGTATTAATTGTATTTACCACAAATCTTTTTCGATGCTCGTTTGGTATTTTTTTTCCCTAGTAATACACACGAAATTGAAAGGAAAAAAAAAAAAAAAAAAAACGCGTACATGGAATTGTAAAGGTTGAAAAGGAAAGTCCATGACTTGGTCTTCTTCGCCTTCTTCCGTCTCTCTCTTCATTCTTAGCTTGCTAATAAAACCAAACAACGAATCCATTTGCACCTCAATCCCGATCGATAAACCTGTTATCTGTGATCCATCACTTCAACTCTGGTAACTCTTTCGTTACAACCTTTCCCCTTCTATGCCAACTTTCGTTACTATTGTGCTTTTTTGATTTTGTGTGAATTTATGTTTTTAGATGCTATATGTGTCAAGTTATCCGGTAGTTTGTCTTGTCAGTATTTTGTGCTTTCCATTTGTGTGAATTTGTGTTTTCAGATTCTATCCGAGTCAAGTTATCCGGTAGTTTGTCTTCTGAGAGCTTGTCTTTTTTTAATCTTCGAATTGTGGATATTTCAAGAACTTTATCTGATTTAAAATCGAAATTAGTTGATTGATTGTGGTTGTTTCGATTATAAACAAGTTAGCCTTTGTAGTTATGTTTCGGCTCCAGTATTTTCTCTTTTTGATATAACTTTTGATTCCTTAAGTTGCTGTGAAAATTGTAACTTTTTAAGTTTGACTTATTATCAAACGTGGATAAATCTCTAGTTCTGTGGAGCCATATCAATACTATCAATCAGTTGTAATGATTATGATAGGAAAATAGGTATTCTGAACTTAAAAAGTTGCAAAAAGAAAAGGAACATTCCAATTTTATTTGATGTAGGGAGTTGTTTTAGTCTTACAGGTTTGACTTGGATTGAGGTAGCAATTGGTATGTGATATGTCTTTGGAAACTTGAACTGAGAGGTTGTTAGTTAAAAGCTGTGGTATGTTTGAATGTAAAATTGTGGTTACATGTATGTGTTTTGCCTTCTGTAATTCTTAGGAGTGTCCAATAGCAATAGGTCTCCCACAAGCTTGTCCTAGTGTTAACTGGTAGAAAGGTGAGAATCCATAAGTACAAGCCTGGGCCATGGGCATCATATTTCCTGCAATGGGGACATTGTGTTATTTTGATGTTGAGAAATGGAATTTGTTGTGAAGGTTCTTGTTATTTGACAATGGAGGAAGGTACAAAGTCTGAGGACCATTTGATATCAGCTGCAGCTTTTGTTGAAGGTGGAACTCAGGATGCCTGTGATGATGCTTGCAGCATATGCCTTGAAGCATTTTCTGAAAATGATCCTCCCACGGTACATATTTGGAGTTACAGATATAACATGTCTTTTTCTTTCTACTTTCTACCAAGTATTATATTTCTTCCTGCAGGTTACAGGTTGCAAGCACGAATTTCATCTTCAGTGCATTCTTGAATGGTAATCTTAATTGTGTTCTTCTTTACCTTCAAGTAAAAGGCTTTACTCGAATATTACCGTCTTAACTGAAATTAAAAAATGATTACAATTTAGGTATATTATAGTTTTCAACTTACATCTTCTTAAACCAAATATAAGTTACTATTCATTACTGATCACACAAATTTAGTTAGGGATGAGATCGTCTATACCAAATTTTTTGGGAGACCGAATACCGAACTGTATGTACAAGTTCGGTACTTAGGACCAAACTGGTTGATTGCTGGACGAACCATTCTAACCATCGGTAACAAGATCGATGACAAATTTATGAGCTTATCTAGAGGTTTCAAACATATAATGAGCATTAGATAAGTTAAAATTCCATGCATGATTATGATACATCTATAAAGTCATCAACTAAAAAGATTGGAAGGTGCTTTCATTGTTTTACATCAATGAAGAGATACATGTTAGATTAAGATAATTTATGTAACTTGTATGGATATATGAAAATAAGTCACTATTTGTATCTTGAGAAAATTAGTGGTTTGATGCCTTTATCTGACCGGATTCATTTTCATCTATTGGATTAACAGACATAGAAACTGGTAGGGGCCAGAGACTTTAACCTACCCATCTAATCATTCTGTTGGAAACATGATTATACTTATAGGGAGAGAAGGATCATGATTCACGCCTCATGTGGATGTGGCTAAGAGCCTGTCTATGTTAGGACTTGAAAAGGGGAATATCATTTTAGTAGATTTCATTATCGTATACTCAATATTATTTCTACATCATTCATATGAATTTGCAGTATAAAGGTAACATCATTTACAACAAAATATCATCTTAAACACAATTCGTGGATCTTGGAGAGCTTGATTTTGAGATTAGGCTGTTGCATGGCAAGAGTCCTGGAGAGAAGTTAAGCATTGAACCTTCAAGTGCCAAAATAAATTTGGTTCCAAATGAACAAGGATATAAGAATAATGATTATTCGTTATATAGAAGAGATATTTGATAAGTTTGGCATTTCACAAGAGTATTTTATCTTCAAGAAACATGACTGTTGGCTTTTGAGTGTTCCACGTGTAGTTGGCATATGGTAGTTGATTGTATTGCATTGGATGTCAATGGGACAATTTTACCTTTTGTCCCACGTCTGTCTGTTTAAAAGACGTGAATGTCCTCATCATCAAACATAGCCCTAGAAAGTTTATGAGAGGAAAATAGGAATACATGATGGGGTTGGGGAGGCAGAGGATATCTTCCTACAAATTTACTTTTATATATTAAAGTTAAACAGGCTTTAGTTTCAACTTAATATTTAGTTTTATGAGCATGGAGAGAAGATGAGGTAAAGGTTTCAGCACTTTTTTGAGACTGACATCATTTTTGAGGACAACACTTAAAGAAACGACGACGTACTTGTTCATTTAGGGACAGTTGAGTGTTGAATAAAATGTATAGGAAATAACAACTTAATAGAAAAGTCAGGAAAGAAAGCTTTCCCCTCATTTGTTGGTGTGCCTGTCTTTTCTCAATTATCTCACTCTAAAACATTTAATCGGAACATAAAGAAACGAGGCATTAATCTATTATCTGTTTGAGCCAGGCCAGGGATATCAACTTTTTAAAGTGATACTGTCCTAACTCCTAACCTAATAAGAGTTTCTCAACACCTATAAAGAAGTATAAATATGAAAGCAATCACATCTACCATCATTTCAGCTGAAACTATGTAACTTAATTTTGTAGGTGTCAAAGGAGCTCACAATGTCCAATGTGTTGGCAGTCCATCAGCTTGAAGGACCCTAGCAGGTTACTTTTTTCAGATTGATCACATTCTTTTCCTTCACATTCTAAATTATATATATATATATATATATATATATATATATATATATATATATATATATATATATATTCTTTGTAATTTCTTCCAGCGTCGTCACTTGGAAAAGTTCCTGGGCCTGCCTCTATATTCCTGTCTTATTTATTTATTTATTTTCACGATTCTTACATCATGATATCTTAATTTCCAGTCAGGAGTTGCTTGATGCTATAGAGCAAGAAAGAAGTATTGCAAATAACCCAGCTCTGAATGCAACGATATTTCATCATCCAACCTTTGGCGATTTTGAGTTACAACATGTTTGTATCAATCTATCTCTTTAGGACCCGTTTGTTACGTAGGATAGGACTGGACACAACAGATTATACTACGTTTGACATGCACTGGGATGGGACTGATTACAATGGACCAAAAACTGCAATTTTTTTTTGTCTCGCCCAAAAAGGTGGGATAATGTGCAAAAAGACATAAACGCCCACCTCATCCTCATCACCCAATATATCCCAAAAAATCTGGTCACTTTGAGTCCAATCCACCGCTCTCCATCTCTTGTTTGTGCAAAAGATGAATGCCCTCATTATCATCTTAATCCTCGAATACAGCCTTAGAAAGCCTTTCTAGTCCCACCCAGTAATCCATGCATGCCTCCCCAGCCCTAGAAAGTGGTCGTTTGTGCAAAAGACCTGCTCATCCTCTTTATCAACAATAGCCAGTCCAGTCCTGTCGAGCCGAAAAAGGTGAGACGGGGACTCGCTCTTGCAAAAAGACGTAAATGCCCTCGTCATCTTCATCAGCGAAAATAGCCCTAGAAAGAAAGTAGAAAGTTTGTTAGGTACTTAGTTGACATGATGTTGTTTTATGGTATGCAGTTGCCGGTTGGTGCGACTGATTCGGAGCTTGAGGAACGTATAATTCAGCACTTAGCTGCTGCAGCAGCAATGGGCAGGGCACGTCATATGGCTAGGAGGGAAGGCCACAGAACGAGAACATCCGGGCAGGGGCAAGGGCGCCCTCGTTTTTTGGGTTTCTCTGCCCAACCTAGCGTACCTTCCCCTACTCGACCTACTACCAGTGATGATGTTCAAACCACCCCTACCCCTACCCCTACAATTGGATTGGGAACCGTGCATGAAGAACCTGTTCCATCCTCATCCTCTGTCCCTGCTACCGAATCACCTGCTTCATCATTCGTCTCCACCATTGTTCCTGCACGTCCACATGAACCGCCTCCACCAGAAAGGTAACACAACGAATGACAAATATGTAGAAAATTGATTAAATAGCAAAAATGTCCTAGTGTCTTTAGCCATGTTTTCTTTTTTTAAGGTGATATTTTTTTTGACTTAGTGGATGCAGTAAGCTATATATGACTTTTTTTTTTTTTTTACTGTTACTATTTTTTTAAACATCATTTATCTTGGCAACACTTAACCCAAACAGCACGTAACGGGAAAAAAAAACAGGGCCTGCCTAAGTATTGCCTTGAGAAAATGACTGTAAGTGGAACAAAAGTTGTAAACAGTTATGACCTAACAGGGAAAGCCTTATTTCTCAGACTTTTTTTCTATTAAGCCATTATTTGTGCCTGAAGTCAAGAAGAAACGTTCATATATAAGTAATCAGATTAAGTAATGTCCAACTTAAGCTGATTTAGTAAAACAGAAAGTCAGAAACAACACCTAACTCATATTCTGCAACATCTTTTGCTTTCTCTACATTAAATGTTGATGCAACCTGATATATGATCATATTCCTAATAGTATTAGTAGGTCAGGCAACCAAGATAGAGCAGGCCCTTCAGAAGCACACTCGTTTTCAGATTTCAAAACCCGAGTCAATGCAATATCATTGAGGTAATTATTAACAAACTTCAAGCTCATTTATTACACACTATTTACAGTTCAGTGAGGATTTGAGTCTTTTACACGGACGAGAGATCGAGAGCTAAGTCCGCCTATTTGGGTGGGTGTGGGACAAAAAGTTGCAACCTTTGTTCCATTGGACGAGACAAGCTTCCTAGGGATGATGAGTATCAGGGGTATTTATGTCTTTTAAAGTCCTCCTCCCACCTTTTTAGGAAAGGCGGGATAAAATTTCCAGTTTTTTTTCAGATTGAATTAGTCTTAGTCGAGTCCAATGGTGTCATATTTTGTCCTACCAGTGCCAGTATCATTTGCATCTGTTTTTTTTTTTTTTTTTTTTTTCTAAAAAAAGATATAAGGACTCGATTACGAAGACCACAAAGAGTTGGAAAGAAAGATTATTTTCACGCAACAACAGCGCCACAGATGATGGCTCTAAAGATAGGGGCGAGGGCAGTGCGACGTTATCACGTATGATGGACCATCTTCAACAAGACTTAGGACACATGGACAGTACCACAAGTCCACGTGTCCAGAACACCAACAATTCTGCAAGTCGAAATGAGATTACAGGTTCAGCACCAGCACCAGCACCAAATTCCGGTATAGAGTGAGGGTCTGATCTATAATTTTTCATATTAAGGATTGTATGATTAAAATACTACATGGATAAATTATATGCCATCTCTCGAGTAAATGTTATATGAATAAAGATTGTTTTTCATTTTTACTTTTATTTTAATTTTACAGAAAGAGCCATTTGAATGAGTAAGTCACCATTTACTCTTCTGTTTGATAAGTGACTACCAATGAAAAATGATTTTTTACTTGACAAGTTCTATAAATTGAAACCGTAAAAGTGAAAAATTAAAAAAGAAAACTGTTAATAATAGTGTTAAGTGTTGTATGAACAAAGGTTGTTGGTTTGAATGAACAGTTTTAATAAAAGTAAATAATTGTTTTTTTTTTTTTTGCCCTTTTGAATAAAGTCACGCGAAGGAAAATGATAGTTATTTGAAAAGTTTATATAAATTAGAACTGCAAATGGAAAAAATGAAAAGAAAGCATGAGCAAGTGTTGTTTATTCCAGAATCGTTATATGTTATACTTGACTAGGGTGTGTTATATAAACAAAGCCGGCCTTGGATATTCAATCCAGAACATACCTTTTACATTTATTTAGAAGTGATGACGAATTTAAAAATTATTATTTGTTTAAGAAATGCTATATACAAGTTTGAAACGCAATTGAAAAAATGAAGTTGGTGTGTCATGTGTGTTTGTATGGGTTATAAGGTGTGTTTGTGTGGTATCCGATAAAACCACCTTTGATTCACAACCTCCAAAAATCACAGCACCACTACCCCTTATTTGGTGGTGTTGTGATTTTTGGAGGTTGTGAATCAATCATGATTTTTGTTGCTATCAGATACCACACAAACACACATTGTAACCCATACAAACACACATCAACAACTTAATCATCTTTCCTGCCACCATCACACGACAAAATCCAGTCACCACTGCCACCCCTTCTCTCTCTGTTTATACCCACCACCATATTAGGAAATCTCACCTACACTTTACAGGATTTTGGTTTCGGAATTACAAAGTAGGAGAAGTATATGACGTTAATGACGAAGAAGCTCCATTGTTACTGTTCGTAAACCCTCACATCCCGATGTGAAATGATAGATTAGTTCTATCTTCGTGGCAACTAGGTTTTGACTTACGTGGCAACGATGAGTCGACTCACCAATGAGTCGTTGTTGACTCATCTGCCTAGTTGGCAGTCGACAAGGCAGTGTAACACTGTAACCTTCAAAAATGGGTAAATATACCAAATTAACCGGTAAAACACAAGTTTGTACCCTTTAAAAGCAAAAAATAAAAAAATCACGAGGGACCATTTAAACCAATATACTAAACATTGTCGGTTTTAACGTTTTTATTTTTTTATTGTATTTTATTTTTTTTACTTTTTCGATTTTTTAAATTATTGTTATTATTATTATTATTATTATTATTATTATTATTATTTATAATATCTTTACTACATACTTGAAGGTACTAGTATTTTTCTTT